GTTAGGCCCGGGAAATCAGCCCAGCAAGTGAATGGTGACGTCGGGAGAGCTTATAAACTCGTTGACCTGGACTTATTGTACACAATGCGCCCAAGTCGGAAACAGAATCAGCACGACATATATATGGTTCAGCTGAGGGTGCCGCTCTGGGCTCGATGGCAACTGGACTCAAACCTTGTGAGGCGACTCCATATCTCGAGACAAGCAACTTTATAGCTTCTGAATTGTCAAATCCTCGCGTCGCTCTCTAGTCCCAGCTCGGGGGCATCATGCGGTCGTGTTGCACCTGCTGCCTGCGTGTCTCTGCTCGCTGTGCTGCAGACGCTTGAGCTGACCTTGAATGCAGCTAGGCAGGCGCCCAATAGGCGCGCGAGCAACTGAGCGACCGACAAGAATTGAGCACCCCTAGACGCGGCGCGGCCCTCTCACGACAAGCGGGCTGAAACCAGCTGTATCTCCTAGACTACTATACCACCCTCTGCGACTGGTTTTGATTCCAAACTTGCCTCAGAGGACAGCGGTCCAACGAATGAGGACGAGCTACGAATGGTACGTCTTCCCGCAGGTGTCTAGTATGATCCCAACCTCGAACCCAGAACTTGAGAGCTGTCGTTGAGGGCTCCTTTTTCCCTCCCCAGAGTAACAGGAACCGCGATGGATACATCCCCGTAGCAGGAGAGGCAGTTGACGACCTGTCTATCACAGACATTCCCCGCGAAGGCGTCCTCCACGTACATCCAGATGGCACCTATACATATGCGTACGGACCAACAGGCATCGCAGGCCTCGTGCACAACTATTACGCCCTGGGATGCGCAGTATTCGCGTCTATCGGAGGCCTTACCTTCGGATACGACCAAGGAGTGATAGCGAACGTGCTCGTCATGAAGGACTTTGTCGGAAGGTGGCACTTGAGTGCTTGGGATACTGGTCTCATGAGTGCGTGTGTCCCGCGCGAGTACGAGGAGAACCAAGGGGAATGGCGAATAACTCTGATAGCTAGCCGCTGCGCTCGAGCTGGGATCCCTCCTTGGAGCGTTGGCTGCCGGAACCCTGACCGACCAATACTCCCGGAGGCAGTCTATTTTCGTAGCGAGTGGTAGGTGACACAGGTAGACCTGCTGCAAAGCGGATACTCACCATCGTCTCAGCGATATTCTGCATAGGGTCCGCTCTGCAATGCGCGGCGCAGAATCCCGAGCATCTGGTTCTTGGACGGGGAATTGGAGGTATAGGCGTCGGCGCTCTGAGGTATGTCACGTTTGGCCATCATGGCGGGCTATATGCGCTCAACTTCCGTGCAGCATGCTCTCCCCACTGTACATGGCGGAGATCAGCCCTCCCGAAGTGCGGGGGTCACTCATGGCTCTCGAACAATTTGCTATCGTGCTCGGAGCGGTCCTAGGCTTCTGGACTGGCTTCTTCACTCGCAACGGTACGGACTTCTGCAGATCTATGCGCAACCTTCGTCGCTGAGGTGCAGGTACACAGTTGAGGGATCAGCCTCGTGGCGAATACCTCTCGGTATCCAACTCATCCCAGGCATTCTCTTAGGCTTAGGCGGACTCGCCCTCCCGCCGTCACCTCGCCTTCTGGTTGCGAAGGGACGAGTAGAGGAAGCGCTCGCTTCTCTTGCGAGGCTCCGTCTACGCTCCCTCGCCGAGAGCGCCAGCGACCCTTTGCTACAGGTACGCCGACTTGTTACATGTTTTGGTCGCTGCTTACGGATGAGACAGATCGAGTTGCTCGAAATGCAGGTCGAGGCAGCGCTCATAGAGCAAACATCACGCAGCCATGGCGCACAAGGTGCAAAGACTGGGTCACTCAGTGTTGAAATCCATTCTTGGAAACGTCTGTTTGGGCCAAAGCTACTGCGACGGACGCTCATCGGCGTGGTGATGATGACCTTCCAGCGTGCGTCTCGTACTTTGTGCCCTTCGCATACTGAATTCGGAATCCACCCTATACATGTAGAGTGGAGCGGGATCAACGCGCTACTATACTACGGCCCCACGCTGATGCATTCCCTCGGCTTACAAGGAGATGCAGTGACGCTCATGTCCGCTGGTGGAATCGGTGTGGTGCAGTTCATAGCGGTCTTCCCTGCTATCGTGTTTATCGACCGCCTCGGTGTGTGTCCTGTTCGCTCACTGGTGTGTCTGGTATTCACCGTGCCACATCGTCGCAGGTCGGCGGCCGCTCCTCCGCTGGGGTAGCGCGGCGATGTCGCTCTCGCACTTGCTCATCGCGCTCCTCGTGTACCGCTACAGCGCTGTATGGCCCGCGCACCCGCTCGCGGCCTGGGTCTCCGTCGGTTGCGTGTACGCGTTCACGGCCGCGTACGGTGTTAGTTACGGGCCGATCGGCTGGATCCTGCCCAGCGAGGTGTTCCCGCTCTCCGCACGCAGCAAGGGTGTCGCGCTCGCGACCGCGTCGAATTGGCTTAACAACTGTGGGTCCCTCTCGCCGTCTTCGTACCACTTCTCACGGACTGACGATGGGTGATGGGATGCAGTCTTGATAGGGTTGCTGACGCCAGTGTTCATGGAGCGCTCCGCGAGCGGGACGTTCGTCGTGTTCGCGACGGCGTGCTTCGCGGGGTACGTGTGGTCGACGTACTGCGTGCCCGAGACGGCGAACATCTCGCTTGAGGAGATCGATGCCGTATTTGGGTCGAGTGCAGGGCGGGAGGACGTTGCGATCAAGCACCAGGTACGATCTATCCCTCCATCCATGGACGGTGCTGAACGACCGTTGTAGATCGAAGTTGATCTCGGCCTACGTGCCCTCGTTCAGCGATGGGCGGACAGGTCCGTACGTGATGGCGTCGAATAGGGGATGGCACGTTGTAAAGGAAGGGACAGCAGCGGGCTCCGCCGAGTGTCGGACGAGGATCAGCCCAACAGACAACGAGCGTAGACGAAGCGGCCCGGTGCTTGCGCCAGCTCCTGTGTAGCAACACTTCATATCATACTAGTCTTGTAGTTGATTCAGCGCCTCCAACGCCATACAGTACAGGGAAACCACATGCGAGGAAGCAAGGCGACTTTGCTGGAGGGAATGCGGGCATCGCTGAGAACCTCTGGCTTGCTCTGGACAAAAACCGTTCCCGATCGCCTAATGATCGCAACTCTTGGTCGCTTGTTGTTCTTCCCTCCTGTTGACTTCGGCGAAGACTGAGGATGAAGCAGTACGCTACACTGCCCCAACCACGGGCGATTCCAATCTGGCGATGTCCATCACGACCGCTGGGTCTCCCTAGGCTTGTACAAGATGCGAGTCACATAGCCAAATGTACACAAACTTACCACGAGATAGCTAAGGACTAAGGGACATGACTAGAAAGACGAGTATCCTATATGTGGCTATCCAGTGTGTATTGAATCTGGGCTAAGCCTCGTATTATCTGTGCTTTGCACACTGGCTATCAATGTGCCACACGTACATGGCAAGACTTGCTAGAGTAGGGAGTGGCCAATGTCATATAATCACAAGGCTCTCTGCTTTAGCGACTGTGTCATGCTAATGAGGAGACGAGGTTCGCTGCCTACATCTCCGAGCGGAGTGTCGTCAGGCATGATCTGGGCGCAACATTGGCATATCAGAACGCCCATCGCAGAATACAAGTGTCAGAGTCTAGATTGACGCCGCATCTCTTCCACAACTTGCTGCCAACGGTGTTCTGTGGAGCACCTCGACTGCTCCGTCATCTTCTGCCAGGCAACGCTCTCACTGAAACATCTCGTGCATATCCTGACACACGTACGGTATGTCACCGTGTCACCGTGTAGTACCTCTTGTTCTAGTCGCTCACGTCCACGGCCCTTGAGATCTTGAGACCTCATGTGGGTTTTGAGCGCTGAGCTCCACTACTTCACTCACCCCGAGATCATCCCTGGTGGTTACGCCATCCTCTCGCATGTATGGGGCGTAAAGGAGCAGACGTTCCAGGACACCCAGAAGCTGCGCAGCACATGTTCCTGGTTCTGGCAGAACCCGCGGGACTACTCTTCTGAGAACGTCCGCACAAGCTGCATTGTCGCGCAGCGCGACGGCCACCGGTGGATCTGGAACGACACATGCTGCATCGACAAGAGCAGCTCGGCGGAGCTGTCAGAGGCAATCAATTCCATGTATCACTACTACACCCTTGCGGACGTCTGCTACGCCTATCTGGCGGACGTCCCTAGTACGCCCACCGACATGGGTGCAGACATGGACTTCAGGCGCAGCAGCTGGCACACCCGCGGCTGGACGCTGCAGGAGCTTATCGCCCCCCCTTTCCTCATATTCCTCTTCGCAGATTGGACAAGGCTTGGCACAAGGGTCGATAACGCACAACTTCTAACTCGTATCACGCACATTCCTGTCGAGGCGCTCTTGAGAGAGAAGGAGGTGCAGGCTCTTAGCGTCGCTCAGCGTATGTCTTGGGCCTTCGGGCGCAGGACAACGCGGGTGGAGGACCGTGCCTATTCTCTCCTTGGAATGTTCTCCATCAACATGAACCCAGTCTACGGGGAAGGAGAGCGTGCATTTCAGCGGCTGCAAGAGGAGATTATGAAGCAGTCGATTGACCCATCTTTGTTCGCATGGGGCGCGTCTGTGGAACCAGATTACCCAGCGCCTGAACGATGGAAGTCGCTCGATAATCACAACTCAAAGCATATCCACCCCCAAAGCTATCTCCTTACGCCTACACCCGATATTTCCAGCCCGGGATTCAGCGGTTCCATGATATTCAATCAGAACATTTCGGAGGTAACTCACGCTGGGGAGGTATGTCATCGATCATCCACACATGTCGCCAAATACTGTCGCTTACGGTCTCGTGTCTGGCGGTACTTTCAGACCCAGTGCTGCTCAACAGATCCCAAGTCTGACCCTAACATCCGCAGTATCCCCACCTTCACGATCACTCCATATAGTTGTCTTGCTCGCATCGCATGCTTCAGGACTGGGGATTGCCTTCTAGCTAGCCTTGGCTGTCAATGGTGGAATGGCGTGTTGTCAACTGACGACAGTTGGCCTGTGCCCGTGTGGCTTCCCCTGACTCCCTGTCCAGATGCCCAAGACAAGTCACGGCCTCTCTATCACACTGGCTTCTTCCACCCTCGTGTGGTTGCTTTCCATCTGCACAAGAATCAGCTCGAGGCGCACAAGCTAGAGTGGCAAGAGATCTACATCGCCCTTTGGCACACCACTCCGAAGCCTACATCCCCCTCGATCCCGATCGATGCGGAGTACCACTCCGATGCTCGCTTTCGTTTCCCATGGGAGGCCATCCAGAAGGCCTTCCCCGGATGGATAGCGAAGTAGTCGAACGTTGGGGAGTCGTCTATACGCCACCTCAAGCTCCTCTCAACGCGGTGCTACTGTTGTCAAATCCATATCAACGCCGTAATGTATACATTGTTCTGGGTCAATGCACTCGGGAACAGCGAATTCCTTCGCAGACGTCTCGTCGCCATTTCGTCAGCTTGCACTTTCACCGTCTCGGCACTGCGCCTTCCCCAGACAACTACCTCGAGCACATATGTGACTGGGACCATATTTGTTCATGGCCTGCGGGACAGGATGGTACGACCCATTAGAATTTTAGAGCGTGCTACTTGCTCACCCGTCTCTAGGATCGTATGTATGGTCTCCTGCGGAAGGCTACAATCTGTCGTTCACCCCCTACCATGACTCGCCGATCTATCCTGCAGACACGCTTCTATTTAGCGAATGGACAGAGCCTATTGACCCGATCGCTTATCAGAAGCGGTGAGGTCTATCCGTCGCACAAGAGTTCTAATGTGTTCTGATACACCTTTCAGACAGGAAGCATACAAAGAGTTCCTTCGCTCACAGCCCGCGCGGCTCCAAGGGTCGCGGCTATTTGAAAGCCTGGGATAACCTATCAGTCAATGGTTCAGTATGCTGTTCTCGGAGCATTCTACCCATTGCCGATACTCTGTTTACGTGCACGCCTTGTTCCGCTGTCCGAACGAGACTGTTGTCTGATTGAACTGAAATTCCGGAAGATGATGACAGCAACGGCTAGGAGTTGACTTCGTCGCTCTCAGCCAGAGGGGGTTTATTATAGTTCAAGGATCGACCAAAGATAATCCATGGTCCTTCCGAGATATTTGTGCGTCGCTCTTCGCAGGGCCTGGTATTACGATAGCCAGTACAACTATCGTCTTTACACTTCGAATCTACTGAGCGCTAGCATAACATCCGGATCCTCTTCAGAGTACACACAAGGATGGATTAATACACATGAGAGCCATCGTCCAGGGATATTGAAGGAGCACAAAGGTTAGCTTGAAGACGACGACGGATACCGTACGAGCTGAGTCCTACTGAATCTCACGATATTCCGACAGCGCGACGAAGTCTGCAAAGCTCAAGGTGCATAATCTTCATCTCCGCCTCCAGACGTGCGACTTGTGCTTCCAGTAGCTCGCGCCTTGCATCCTGCATCTCGTAGTCGAAAGGGTCGAGTTCATCCATGCGTGGTGTTACACGATAGGCTGGCTTGCCAAAGACGTCACCGTCTACAGATCGGACAGCATTCTTCACGGGAAGATCACGGGCTGCGTCCGCAGTCTGTGTCGTCGCGTCGCTGTTGGTGCCTGCTTGGCTAGCGACATCGGGGTCGCAACCAACCGCGCCGCTAGTATCCTCCGGATCGCGGGAGTCCGCGTCTTTGCAGTGAGTACCGATCTCCTCCGTTTGAACACCTACGTGCACCGTGCGGGCACGAGGAACGCGCTCTTGACGTTGTACGTGTTGTTCGTGCCGTACTAGGATGAGATGCCAGAAGGGATCGATTGTAGGTATGGTAGGCGGCTTGCCGGTGCACACCTTTTCAAATTGCAGGAGGAACTCTCGAGCATAGCGGGTATTTGCCGGCCGGACGTTGGGAGGGATGACGTCCTTGGGATATGGCACGCGATCGTCGTCCCTTATCATTCGTGCGCGATGGATCAATACACCGAACCCCGGCGGTGCAGCTCCTACCACCACATCCTGAGGCGTGGTTGCAGAGGGCGACAAGAGCGAACATGACGGCTGCGGGCTCTGTTCGGAACAAAGCGCAGGTCGTTCAACGGACGTGGCGTCGGCCCCTGGTGGCTTCGCTTCAACACTCTCGCCAGCGTCGCCCAAGCTCTCCGAGTTGTGCATCGCAGTCGGTTGTGAGACCCCCCACCCATTGTCCTCGTCTCCTGGCACCGCCTGCAGGTGCCACTGCCTCTCGGCCTCCTCCCTTTCTCTCTCCGCGCTCTTGCCCTCGTCCGTCGAAGGCGAGAGCGACGGGGAGCGCGAGCCACGCACCGAGACGCGCGACGAAGACATGGCTGTCCCAGGTTCAGTTCTGGCGCATTCGTTCAGGTCGATATCGTTCACTGGAAGGAGCGCCGCGGCTGGGGCAGGAGCAGTAGCACCTCGTCCAGGGACGAACTCCGCCGCCCGCGCATCGAGGTGTGCGGCATCATGATGCTTCCCAGGAGGAATGAAGGAAGCCGCACCGCGCCCCTGCACGGGTGACGGGTACCAATGGGGAGGTTGCTGGAGAGCTGGCGAACTGGGCGTGCTTTGCGTGGTGTACCTCTGCTTTACGTAGGGCTTCGTAGGCTCCTGTTCCCCGGAGGACTGCCTTCCGAGAGCTTTACGCACATAGTTCAGCGGGCGAGTACCGGCGGGCGTCGTCGTGGATGTTGGAGAGATCGACGTGTTAACGCTTGTTCCGGAGGAGGAACGCATTCCGGGAAGAGGAGGCGCTGTGCAACGAAGCGTCGGCGATGATCCTCAGGAAGGGTGCCTAACCGGATGCACATACCCCAAAATGGTGGCGGTTTGGACCGCTCATCGGTGGCAAGAGACAATCCGACTCCTCCAGACGTCCCCCAGACCCGCCCTTTTCGACCGAACCCAGGGATGTCGCGCCCATTCGCTTGTGAAGTCACAGACATGGCGATACTGCAAGAAGATACGGAGGAGGCTAGAGAATAGCAGCAATCGAGTACGGCTCAGCGGGATGGGTGGTGGGGAAGAGAAGCTAGAGTCAGGACCCGCGTCGAGCGTATAATTGGGGACCGGATAAGGTTCGCCGCAGAGCGAGTCCGGGGAGCCAGCTAGCGTTCATGGAATTCTGCAGCTCAGCCAACGAGCCTGCTGTTCGATGAGCCCATTGCAGAGGGTGTGCTGCGGTAGTGCGAACATGAACCTAGATCGAAGTCAAAGAAGTCCTGCGGTACCTAGCGGAGCATCACACTTGACACAGCGGTCGAGTTGAATGAGTGCGGTATGCACGTCATGTGTACCGGCATGGGCCACCACGTGTAGGCGTGGCATGCTTCGCAGTCGACATACGTGAGAACCATATACACAAAGAGAAGCGTGGCGAGCTCAAAGTGCTCACCTTGTCCGAAGAATCCGACCGCGAGGACGATAACAATCAATGTCTGCAGGAAGGTTTCTTCGTCTATTCTTGACCTTGAAGCAAGACAGATGGCGTTGCAAAACGCCGGTTAGGGTCAAGCGACCACATTGAATAGGGGTGGTCAGAGTGCACGATTATGGGGCGATTCTGGGACGATTCTGGAGGCCGATTCTAGACGCGATTTTGTTCTCAGAATCGCGATTATCGCAGAATCGCGCAGAATCGCAGAAGCTCCTCCGGAGGAGCTTCTGCCCTCCAGAATCGCGATTCTGCTGTCCACGATTCTGCCTCCCCCAAAATCCTCCCCAGAATCGAGACCACAATCGTTCCCAGAATCTTCCTTCGGTATGGGGTGGCCAGAGTAGGCCGCGATTTAGACACAATTCAGATATTCAGAATCGGCGCAGAATCGCTGGGAGAATCACTTCAAAATTGTGCACTCTGACCACCCCTGATTTGTTGCATCCTATTGAAGCGGCATCCTATAAACACAGCAGTGAGATTGCTGATCTTACTCATCGCGTTGAAGGCACAGTGCAAGAAAATGTCATCAAGCAAATGCACACCAGTCAACCATAAACATAACATCCCGTCACCGTGATCAGGACCAAGCCAGGCCGTTCACCAGAGCGCGATCACCATCGCGACCGCGCACGCGCCCAAGCAGGCACTCGTGAATATACCCAGCACGAGCGGGACCGCCGTCCACGAATAGGATAAGAATCTCAGAACGGCGAGTACGAACCCAACAGGGGACATCTCGATGACCTTGCTGTTCAAGTTGAAGACGTATTGTCAGTATGTTTTACATGGGAATATGAATCGTTAATGCGCAGACTTGGTGCAACGGCAGTATCGACTCTGGTCTTGAACATGGTGTGGGGAAGCGTCCGAGGCTCAAGGGGTATTAACGTTCATATTGTGAGGCACCGAACCACATAGATCTCACCGAAATTGTGCACAGGATCATCCTGCCATACTTCACCCGAATTTCGTCGGGCATTGACGGTCGGAGAAAAATGCACCTGTGCCCTCTCACCACCTTTCTGGCGTTGGGGCGCCAGATGTGCACCGATGATGCGTAGTCACTGTATCCGTGGAGCTGAGCAGCAATACGGGAGGGGCAGAGTGCATACAGTGGGGAGCTAAGTGGAGGCGTGAGGCAAATGGATGTTCATGAACCAGCTAAGTAGACACAACGACCGTCTGTATACGGTAACAATCGCCGTATACCCAAAACAGTCACAACATTCTTCCCACACTGCCTGCGTAGCGCCGACATGTGTATATATGCTCAGATGACAAGGCTGTGCCTTCTTCGTACATCCCCTTCCGCTCCTGACATCCTCGCTCGACCGAAAAATCACGTTTGCAAACATCAAAGTTCTCGGGCGCCCTTTAGTGTATTCACTTCCTAGGCCACCACAACAATAATCACCATCGATGGGAGCACAGCTCACAACGAGACCGACAATTGCAGTAAAGGGGCAGATGCCGTCGAGACCTGGAAGGCCTAAGTGAAAAGTGCGTCTCTCCCATATATTACCCACTAAGAATATCAACATGATTTACGTTAGATGTGTTCCTGGGCCGTGCCATCTACACCCGTTTGTGTCGTCCTATGGCCTGTATGCAACATCAACAACTCCCAGTATGTGTCGGTATTTCGCATACTGACCCTATGTGCTAATGTTCAGCTTCTGTTAGTCCCCACATATGCCGGCAGATATGGCAGATTGATCACGGATCCCCCTTATTGCATCGCTGACGACTTGTGTTGTCGATCTTCGCTAATATTGTAGTGTTTCTCCCTCAACCTCTTATGTACATCAGCTAGTTGATCAGGATCTCTGTACAACCATCCGGTTCGCCGCAATGCAAAACACGTACACTACAGAGTCACAGCCCGCAACCCACCCTTATGTTGAGCACAATAGCCGCCGCTTAGCATCGGGAGCTCGCCACCGGATCCATGGCGACTCGCGTCGAGCTCTCTTGAAGCATGCGGCACGCAGTGAACCTTTAGATGCTACCAGAAGGGCGGCGGACGAAGCGCATAGGCCAAGATACAACGTGCTCTACGGACACGATGAATGTTGCCCATGAGGGCCTCAGAGAGGCAGATGCTTGGGACGCTACTGACGCAGGAGCGATGGAAGGAACAGTTCGAATGCTCTGGGGGAGTTCCGGACCATGTCGTAGTAGTCTGGCTTGCTGCTCGATATGAGCGTATACGGAGCCCTTGAGCTCTATACGAGCGGCAAGAGTTCTTGGGTTCGTCGCGGATGCCAGAGTGCAAGTGGAGAAGGCAAGCTCCACGCCACGGGTCGCTGTATCACCGAACAGCTTCTTCCCTTCGGACCACGATGAAACGTGGTGTTCGGTGCAGTCATGGATGTGATGAGGCGTATTCCAATTTGAGGTATCGTCGTCGTGGTGGATGAGGACCTTAGCCCAGTGATCGCCAGTGTGACATATCCCGAGATCAAGATGAATGAACTCGCCATACAATGTCCCGCTGAGTTGAAGTCGAAGAGGAAGCTCGTCTTCGGGGGTCTCAGGCGTCAACAGGAAGCCCAGCATATCGAAGTTAGCGATGAGCCAATGGGGTATGCGAAAAGCGGGTTGGACAGCGCAGTTGAGTCGCAGTCTCGCAATGGAGGTATCCGGAGAGTACAGCGCCTCAGGTCGGGGTTGTACATAGAGAGTGCGCCAGCGCGGCTTCACCCGTTTCCCGTTGAAACGGAGATTGTAGAGGTCGTCTCCTAGAGAAACGAGGCGGTACGCTAGTGGAAATTGTTGGTCTGGAGTGCTAGTGTCATTGAAGACGGCGCTGGTGTAATGAAGGGGTCGCTTTGGATCATAGCTCAATGGATCCCGCTGCAAAAGGAGTCCCATGTGTTCACGCGATTTGTTCTCGCAGAGCAGAACAGCCACTACGATACCACCCGCCTCGAAGACTGGAAATCGACACACGATTCCATAGTTTTCCACGGCCGCGGTGGGTATCTCGACACCATGGAAGGGCCGCGCGCGCGCTTTTTGCCATTCTTTGAGGACCTGTTGTTCTTGTGAACACAGCATCGTGCAACGGTTACAAGAATGATACTCACGGGAGGTGGGTAAATCTGCTTTGGGTGGGGATGTAGAGGCGTGAACTCGAACCCGTGTATGAAGCTGGCCGGCGATGGAGCGAGAAGGTAGGAGTAGTCGTTGAGCAGTTCTATGTCGCGACGCGTCGCAAACTCCAACCCAAGGTCTCTGAGAGGCGCATTCCGAAGCCAGCCAGCCCCCCAGGCAAAAAGACTCATGTCGAAGCCGTGCTTCATGATTTTCTGCTGGAGCCGCTGGAATGCGTGTGATCCTTCTCCGTAGATGATCGTCATCCGGACATTGAAGAGGCCCATCAGGCAATAGCCCTGGTCCTCTACCCTGGTGGTGACGCGATTCGACGCCCACACCATGCGATCCGCTACGCTCGCCTGGTAGTAGTAGCGCTGCCGAGTGAGGATGCTCTGGGGGACATGAGTGATCTCTTCTAGGAGCTGTGCTAGTTCCGCTTTGGTTCCGAGTCTCTCCCATGTTCGGGAGACGAAGATCACCACTGCGGGCGCGATGAGCTCCTGGAGTGTCCACCCTCGTTTATGCCAGCGACTTCTCCGGAAAGGGGATCCCTCCGCGCTCAGCTCGTCTATGCTAGCGGTAGGCACGTCCACGAGGAATGCGAAGCAGACCTCGGCCTGCCAATACCACTTGAACATGGAGTTGATAGCTTCGGAAAGCTCTGTGCTGCTGGTCTTGTTAATGCAACACGAATCGACCCATGCCCACTCATAACCGTGCTGCAGTGCCATATCACAGCACTTACGGATCTTGGAGGAGGTCTTGTCGCGGGGGTTGTCGCCAGTCAGCTTGCATTGTTCCGCGATGGCACGGATATCTTGATACGTTTGCTCGCGGTTCCCCCACGTATGAGACAGTATCGCGTAGCCTCCAGGGACCCCGCTCGCGTCGGGGAATTCTTTCAGTTCAAAACGAGTGGTGTGCAGGAGCCACATTGTTAGCTCTTCGATTACTGGTTGGAAAAGCCATGGCTGAGTCAGAAAATCATTGGATCGAAACACTGCTGCATACCTAGGTCTCAGCCTCGGAAGTCTCCAACGGACGAAGGGACATGGATGGGATCATAGAGGCATTATCGATGTTAGAAGATGAATACACCGATTTGGTAGCAATCATGCCGAATGTCACGTAACCCTTAGAATTGCATGCGAATAGCTCGGCGTTTGAGCTCTTGTACTATGAGCGCCGTCGTCGGAATATGCCACTGAGAGAGGGTCAATAGCGCCTGTCAATCGAGAAACACTCCTCCGTTGCGAGCGTTCAGCTCACACCGCCAATGAGAAAAATGAGGATGTCGATGGCTGACTTCTCAACATTTATAAGCCATAGTAAAAATGGGCGACGGTACGATATTACAGGTGATCGCCAGACCAGAGTTAAGGGAAGGATGGTACCCGTCGAGTATATGCCAGTCGAGCCCAAGGCCCGGAGTCAGAGTCATTCGCTGTGTATAGCGCACTTCTACCCAGTATCGACAAGTACTGATGGAGTCGATTACGAATTTCATCGGAGTCGACTATGATCGGATCAAGCATCGCCGACTCCTGCAGCTCCTCGTCGGGCCCTGTCCCAGACTGTGACCGGCGAACCTCGAGTGGAGGAAGAGGAACGATTCCCGCTTCTGGATGCAACATGCATGTGTCTGCGTCAACCGGCGACGGGGTTTATTGGTTTTTGATCGTGAACTACTTGTTGGTCCTCTGACCGCCGTGCCCGAAACCTTGCGACCAAGGATCCCGTGGCGGGGAGAAGGCGAGAATGAAGTACATCCTGTGGTCCGGCAAACTGCGGATGTGGTCGAGGGTGCAGTCGTGCGAGGGGGCGATGTCGAGGCGCGCTTGGCTCCCAGTGGGAGAGTGATTCTCGGAGCGGACGAGATTCGCCCAGCGCGTCCCAGATGGGTATGTACACCGCCCAGCATGCAGAAAGGAAAAGATGATGCTTTGGATTGGCATAGAAAAGGAGTGCGGCTGGGGAGGGGGCCGGGCTGCGTCGGACCCGTGCCTTGTGAGATGAGCTGGCTGGCGTACTCTCCCAGTAGCCAGCGCGGAATGTAGAAGGACGCGTTGCAGTTGACGGGGACACGCTGAATAGTATGGTAGGGCGGCTGTAAGGCGCGGATATAGACGCTGCGAGAGTCCATCTGCCAACAGATGGGCGCGGTACAGAACTGATCGCAGACTTCGTAGTCATAGCACGCACTTACACTATGCTTGGAATTGCGATTAGTCCGACATAGGTACCATCGCTGCTCCCGGACTTATGATTTCTAGATCCGCCCATGTCCTTGCTGCCTGCCTTGTCAAGCTGTACGTCAAATGTCGAAGAGAAGCTTGTTAGCCATCTACTCAGAACGCAAAATGTGACTCAGATGTCCTTCCCGTGATACGCGCGCCCTTAGTCCCTCGACTGGATCAGCGGCGGGAAAAAATCTGTGTGACATTCCGTGAGCAACCATCTTGCATCAACCCTGGTGAGAAACTCACGGTCGACATGTAACGTACACTACAATAGCGTGCCTTAGCATCGCGAGCAAGTACAACGAGAAGTGCCGCTCGACCACGGCTATAAAAGAAGGGGAACACTGATTTGAGGAAACAGCACGCAGCAAGTTGTGACAGCAAGACGACGCACACTCACTTCATGAAAATCTTCGCCTTCGCAGCAGCCTTCGCCCTCGGCGATGTGCTCTCCGCGGTCGCAGACTCAGTGGACCCCAACGTACCTGTGCACATCTTCGACGACTTCGGTCAGTGACCTCCTCGCACTATCGTCCCGTGCCCCTCACTCACCTCCTATTCCAGCTGACGGCTTGGTCGTCGGTGCGGGATACGCGCCGGCCCCCGGATCGAGCCTCGTCATGACGTACCCCGAAGACGGTTTCTCCACGTTTGTCCTCACCGCGGGCACGGATGAGATCGGTCAAATCCAGCTGTTTGGCAGCCTCCCCCGTGACGCTCCGCTGTGCATGACCGCGACCAACGCGACCGGCACCGCGAGCTCTCATCCTGTCACGCTGGAGGAGTGCGACGAGGACGACGAGCTGCAGCATTGGTTCGTTGGGAGCGCCTCGAACGGCACCCTCATCCGGCCCTTCGACAACGTTATAGACTGCCTCGCCATCCCGACCACCAGCCCCGCTGTGGGCGATCAGGTGCGTGTGCGTTAATGTCCTGTGTGTTCGAATGAAAGACTTCGAGTCCACCAGGCTCAGAGACGCACGTACTGATGTATTGTATGCACTTGTCGACAGGTGGGGCTCCAGCCTGAGCCGTGTCAGGACCAGCTCATTCCGCGGCAGCTCTGGCACGCGATCGCAGCGTAGGGACTACCGGTCGTCGCAAGGCATGGCGTAGATGCGCTTGACGCAGTATGGTGGATGGGCAGGACTTGGTTGCTATGATGTAGTCGTATGGCCTGTCAGAGTAAGGCTGTGGGTGCAAAAGAAAGAGATGATACGTACTGTGTTCAAGTAGCGACACCATGGCTTCGGAATGGTAATTCGCAGCCACAATTACGATTCACTACCCTCGTGCAATGAGTTGATGTTACATCTAAGGGAAAGACACCGGTCGGGTATACCCGTCAGCCGTCTACAACAGAACATGCGTGTTGGTCCGCCTATTAGGCGTGAAAAACATGCAAGTTAGGACCGGGTACCGGCATAGCCGGACATATAGACGCTATAGGCACAGCCACACAAGGGGACAGAAGAGACGCTCTACGTCGGCACCACAGCGAGATTGGAACCTAGAGCCTCCCCACAAATCAGAAACTCCGGACGCTATACCACTAATCCATCAATAGACATAAGAGGACACCTTGTATAGTGAATCTCATCATTTGTGACGTCCCAATACATGCAAGTACCTGACGTCCTAATACATACATGTGTTCCACATGTGTTATGCTGAAGTACTAACACAAGTCTATCCAGACTTATCACGCGGACTTATCCAAGTACGCGGTGTAGCACACGGGGGAGAGAGTATCGCACAAGTCCCTAGATTGAGGGATATAGGGATACAGGAGGTAACGAAGAGGAGAACAGAAGTGGGGAGCCTCTACCGACTACAGGCCTCCTTATATACTATGGGGTACCGACCGTATTAGGAAGGGAAAGGTAACCGACCAAAGTGGGGAGGTATGAGGAGACTGTAAAGGAACGCGTCTGGTCGAGGCTGGGCCTAGTATAGTACAAGACCTAGGTCAGGGTCCTGTGATATAACCGAAAAGGGATAGAGACGGGACAGGGTCCTGAGTCTAGGTCAGGGTCGGGCAATATAACCGAAAAGGGAAAGGGGCGTGACAAGGGTCGGGGTCTGGGTCAGGGTAAAGTAATGTAACTGAAAAGGGAAACGGTCAGGGTCGGACTCAGGGTCCGGTCATAT